GCCTTCAACATGTTCCTGCTTCCCATCACTTTCTGTATTTAGACTAGCTACTACGGTAAACTTTCAAAGTGCCATGTACTTACTAATCTGCCTCTGCCTTTGTCCTTTCTCCCTGTGATGCTAGAAACAACCGCAATAACTGACAAAGTTACAGTTTCTTATGGCTTACCTTGGTGATGTAGCCATTTCAGCACATAAAACTGACAATCCTTGAAGGCTTTTCACTCCTCGCCCTATCCTGCTCCAGAGGAGGCTTTGCTACAAATTCATTTTTCCCCACACAATGCCCTTTCAGACTTTGGTCTACACTTTGGTAGCTTTTTAAGTTCACATACTGTTTACTTCACAGCCATCAATCCACTTAAGTCAGATTTTCCAGACATGTTACTGGATACCAGGATAAACGAGGTTGCACATCCACACCCTCATTCAGCATATGGGACACAGGTGGGCTGAAGAAGAGGCTAGGTTTTCCTCCACAGACCTCACTGATACTTTGCTGGGACTCTGTTTTTCTTACAGAATATTCTTCTCATGCGTACTAGATGTAGATCCACTGCCGCTCATGACAAGTCTAAAGGATGAAAATAAATGAATGAGAACAAACGAATGGTTGTCTCTCTCAGCTAAAACTTCTCTCTATGGGGGAACTGATGCGGGTGTACAGATATGTGCCAAAGCCAATGTCTCTGAAGAGAAATATGTTTTGTTTTTTTTTTTCAAAGCATGTCATGCTCTAGCCATCCTCCCACGTTCCACCTTGCCCTTGCTTAGGGTGGGAATGATCCTGAGCTCATGATTCCACACAGTCAGCTTCTCCAGCAATAACAAAGGCAGCCGGAATAGGCATCATATAGCCTATAGCTTCGCAAAGTTTGAGAATCTGCATCAGGTATGGGCCTGATGGTGGGCACACCATTCTGGAGTGTAGGAGGCAGACAAGTCATTGCTAAAGTGCTCGTGTGTGTGGAGGCACAAATCGTGGTGGAATAGATACTATGTGGG